ACTACATAGAGAAAGAGAGTCAGAAAGAAATCTCCTCCTTTTCGGCGTTTTCCTTTCGATATTTTCCTTCTTCCATTATCCGCTTTCGACGTTTGCCTTTTCGGCATTTCGCTTTTCTACATTTTCCTCTTCGACAGTTTGCTCTTTTTTTTATCGACATTTTCCTTTTCGACGTTTTTCCTTTCGATGTTTTCCACCAAGATCGTCAAAAAGCTCTTGGGAAACGTATTTTGCCGGTGAAAACATGTCTCCAAGTCTCTTCTTTCGCATGACGAAAAACACAGCTCTTTCGATGCTTTGTATTAAAACTTACTCAAAAAACAGCCAAGGTTCTTATATTTTGACAGAGATAGTAGTCACAATTTTCCTTTAATCTTGCCACATGTTATAATTAACAATTTTTCCATAGGTTTTCATAACTAGTTTTTTCTTGTTTCCGTTCCATTCGACTAAGAAGTTCACCGATGACACATTCCACATGTTGTTGTTAGAATAAGTGAGAGTGGAAAATGAGTACGTTTAAACTGATAGAAATATAAAACAAGACTTAATTTTACATCTAAAAGTGATGTTCACTCTCCAGTTGTAATATCCGTTCTTCATTTAGACGATCAACCATCCGGTGATTTTGTTCTTCGTTTTTGTTCTCGATTTTCTATCGCTAATTTAAATGATATTATTCAAATTGATGTTCAAACTGAGAATGAACAACCATCAATAGAACTCTATAGTTTCTATTCATCTGTTATCGAATATATTCAACTCTACATATTTAACAATAATTTGTTATGTGATGAAAAAGAATATGATCGACTTTCAGACATATTATGTCAAATGAAGTTTATCTGTGTCGATCGTTTAACAATTCAGTATCGATATGATACTACTTTACGTGGAAATAAAGAAGAAGATGTTTATATTCACAACAGTTTCTTTTATATATTAAAAAAATATGAAAGTTCAGACTCCAGATACATCGATGCTATGGCAGATTTTCTACTGTCTAATGAAGACGCAAATAAACAATTAATTTTAGCCAAATATATTAGAAAATTATTACAGATATATCAACGATCAGGTACATATTTCTATACTCTTTATGATCAATTTCACCTTATTTGATGATTATAGGTGAACAAGGTTTGACGCACCTTCTATTTGATCAATCATTACCTGAATCCATAAGAAAATGGGCGATTTTGTCGCCTGTAGTCGAACAAAAGCAACCTGAGCTAATTGTTGTTGAAGAAAAAGAAGAAGAAGATGATAAAATAAATGAGCCAGTGGCGATTGATCCTGAATTAATTAAAAAATTATTAAATGAAGAGAGAGTAAAACCAAAGCCAAAGAAACCGAAAGAAGGTGATGAGACGGAGAAGAAACTAACGAGTTTTCCACTAAGGAAAAATCCAAACAGTGAACCTCAACCGCAAGCACAACCAAAAACAACTGCTGGTATCGTTGCCAGTGACGATAGTACAGATCCGCCACGTTATTTCAGCAAAACATCTTCTGTTGAAAACACTGCAGGACCACGTCATGATAACAATGAAAAACAAGAAAAACAACAATCTCCTACACGTGAAAAAGAAGAAGACAACAGTGAAACAATGATTGTTGATGATAACAGGCAAAGATCAACTCAGACTGATAGCGAAGAACGAAGTAAGTGGCAATTGTATTTAGTTTAAAATTTTCTTTGCGTCGAGCGATAGATATGAGACAGTTACTTCACTACTATAAATCGAATAGTAACTGCTTCATTCATTGCACTAGTGTTTTAAGATTCGCATTTTTCGAAATATATAATATTTTTAATCCTTTCCAATGTCACGTAAACCGTGATACAAATTGTGATTTTGTTTTTGGAAGAACAATGTGTATAGGATTGCCAAATGTCCCACATTTCTAGTCTATGTCTCCGACGAAAATTTGGTATCCTTTGTAAGGATTTTCTTAAGCCGTTTAATAGACTTTTCACGTTTCTTATGCTTTCATTTCAATTTTCTCAATGGCCTGGTATGACAAATATGTGTTTTATCTTGTCTCGATGTAGGAAAAAAATGGGGAGGGAAATAGCGGTGTCAGTATTTTGATTATAACTTTTTTCTTTTGGACCTGATTGTTTTTCCAGAAGATACACCCATGGATGGCGGAAGGGGCGGGCGACCGCCCGGGACGCTACAAAGCAAGGGGCGCCGGAGGCGCCTTGGTTTTCTAATACTGATCAGGCGCATTTCAACAGGTACAGACAGAAGAGGTGGGGGCGCAAAAATAAATTTTCTCGCGGTATCATAATTTTGCTCGCGCCGGCCCTGGATACACGATCAAAACCTCTACAAATCTTGATTAGACTGATTTCTAGAGAAAGTTAAGGAGAAAAATTAAACGAAGTATACTCAACACGTGGAAACGGACCAAGCTAAAAAACCGTTTTGTCCAACTACTTCCATTGAGATGCGTGATATAAAAGAGGATAACATACGCATTTTATAACCCTTGAAAAGCTCTGTCAACTAGTATTAGGCGAACAAATGCTAAATCAATCTTTGAGACTTGCATCGATCTTCTTTTCTTCAAGACTTCCGAAAATTCTGCTATTTGATTCTGTAGTTTCGAAGTTCCTGGAAAACGAAGCCAAAACAGCATCTTTTGAGCTTGTTTTTTTCAATTTTAATGAGAAATAACTCCTATGCCAGATTCAGCGGCGAAAATTTGCCTTAAAGTTTCTTCTTAAATTCATATGGCGAAAAAAGAGCAGATTTTTGGTCATTTTGAAATAAATTTTGGAATGTTAGATGTTTCAATGTTTATTTTGATTCGAACGAACTCTGAACTGTATGACGAGAAAGAGTACATCTGAAAGTACTCAAAAACATTTTCGCTTCTGCTTCGTTGTCTTTAGAGCTGTTTAAAATACTCGAACGTTTGTAAATCAAAATAGCTTACGAGGGAACACCCCCAGGTGCCCCATTTCGTTCATTCATACATCATTCGATAGGGGACCTCGAGTAGGTAAAAAGCCTAAAAGGATTTCGG